TTTAAAAAATGTATATGGAACCATAAACGACCCCGAATAGCCGCAGCAATTTTGAGAAAGAAACACAAAGTAGGAGGGATCACAATACTGGACATCAAACTCTACTACAAGGCCACCATACTCAAAACAATCTGGTACTGGCACAAGAGCAGACCCATAGACCAGTGGAACAGAATAGAAAGCCCAGAAATAAGCCCAGGTTTCTATGGGCATCTAATATTTGACAAAGGGGGAAGAAGCATAAAATGGAGCCATAATAGCCTCTTCAACAAATGGTGTTGGGAGAGCTGGACGGCTACATGCAAAAAATTGAAATTGGATCATCAGCTGACACCATACACGAAAATAAACTCAAGATGGATAAAAGACTGAAATATAAGTCGCAACAACATCAAAGTCCTAGAGGAGAGCATTGGCAGGAAACTCTCAGATATCCCACACAGCAATTTTTTCACTGATATGTCTCCTAAAGCAAGGGACCTAAAGGAAAGAATAAACAAGTGGGACCTCATAAAAATAAGAGGCTTCTGCACGGCGAAAGAAAACATCAGCAGAATGAAAAGGGAGCCAACCATATGGGAAAATATATTCGCTAACAATACATCAGATAGAGGTTTGATCTCCAAGATATATAAAGAACTCACTTGACTCCACTCCAAGAAGAAAAACGATGCAATCAAAAAATGTGTAAAGGACCTGGGCAGATGCTTTACCAAGGAGGAGATACAGAGGGCCCAGAGGCATTTGAAAGGATGCTCAGCATCACTAGCCATCAGAGAAATGCAGATCAAAACCACCATGAGGTACCACCTCACACTGGTCAGAACGGCCATCATAAAGAGATCCACAAACAACAGGTGCTGGCGAGGCTGTGGAGAAAAAGGAACCCTAGTCCACTGTTGGTTGGAATGTGGACTAGTGCAGCCACTATGGAAAGTAGTGTGGAATTTCCTCAGAAAGCTGAAAATGGAACTGCCTTTTGATCCAGGGATTTCCCTGCTGGGACTATACCCTAGGAACACCAAAACACCAATACAAAAGAACCTATGCACCCCAATGTTCATAGCAGCACAATTTACAATATCCAAGTGTTGGAAGCAACCTAAATGCCCATCAGGAGATGATTGGATCAAAAAATAATGGCATATATACACAATGGAATACTACGCAGTAGAAAGAAAAAAAGAACTACTAAACTTCGCGACAGCATGGATGGAACTGGAGAGCATGATGCTAAGCGAAATAAGCCAGGGGGCGAATAACAAATACCATATGATCTCACCCATAAGCAGAACCTAACCAACAATGCAAAGATGCAAGGAAAATAAGAACAGCAACACTGAAAGGAAATCAACAGAGACAATAGGGAAGGAGGGGGATGCAGGGACCGGGAAGGGAAGGGGAAAGTCAAGGACATATTGCAAGAAATCATGGACAAAACCAAAGGAGAAGAGCTGAGGGAGGGAAGGAGGGAGGGGGCAAGGGAAAGTGGTGGCGGGGAGGCAGAGACAAATGTATTTGAAACAATAAATTAAAGAAAAAGAACCAAAAAAATAATTTGGAATACCCATAAATGTATATCAAACAAGATTAAAAGATCATAATTTGGGGGGAAAGTGCAAAATAACAGTGTATATTACAAGTATATATTAAAGGTATATATTAAAAATAAAAAAAAGAAAAAATACTTTAAAAATATAGTATTAAGAGATAAAGAATGACATTTTACATTGATAAAAGGATCAAACAAGATAATATAACCCTGGTAAATATTTACATACTCAATGTAGGAGCACCTAAATAAATAAAGCAAATACAAACGGAGAGAGAGACAGTAATACAGTAATTATAGAGACGTTTAAGACACCATTGACATCAATGGACAGATTATCCAGACAGAAAGTATACATATTTTTTTCAAGAGTATATGGAACATTTTCCAAGATAGACCATATAATAAGCCACAAAAGAAGTTTCAATAAATTTAAGTAGATAGAAATCATATCAAGCATCATCTCCAACTATAATGGTATGAAACTAGAAATTAATTACAAGAGAAAAATTGGAAAACACATAAACATGTGAAGACTAAATAACATGTTACTAAGCAATGAATGGGTTTATAATGAAATCAAGGAAGAAATAAAAAGATACCCTGAGACAAATGAAAATAAAATCACAATGACCTAAAATAGATGGAAAAGAGCAAAAGCAGTTCTAAGAGGGAAATTCATAGCAATACAGAACTACAAGAAACAGGAAAAATCTTAAATAAACAATCTAACCTTTCACCTAAAGAGACTGGGAAAAAAAAAAAAAAAGAACAAAGCCCAAAGTGAGTAGAAAGAAAAAAATAAAAATTAGATGGTAAATAAACAAAATATAGCCTAAAAACACAATACAAGAAATCAATAAAATCAAGTGCTGGTTCTTTGAGAAGATAAACCTTTAAACAGACTCATTAAGAACAAAAGAGAGAGGACCCAAATAAATAAAATTAGAAGTAAAAGAGAAGTGACAATTGACACTACAGAAATCCAAAGGATTATTAAAAATACTACAAAAAATATTTGCCAACAATTTGGACATTCTGGAAGAAATGTCTAAATTCCTACAAACATACAATCTTTCAACACTGAATCAAGAAGAAACAGAAAAATTGAACCGACAAATGACTACCAATGAAATTCAATCAATAGTCAAAAAACTTGCTAAGGACAAAAGTCTTGAACCAGATGGAACCACAGATGATTTTTACCAAAAATTCAAAGAATAAACACATATCCTTCTAAAACTATTTTTAAAAATTCAAGAGAAGGTAAAGATACAAAGCTGATTTTATGATTGCCTTGAATCCAAAACCAGTCAGGACATTACAAAAAAGAAAATTATAGGCCAAAACCCCTGATGAACATAGATCTTAAAATCCTCAATAAAATATTAGAAAAGTAAACTCTGCAATACATGAAAAAGATCATAAGCCATGATCAAGTGGAATTTATTCCTAGGATGCAATATTGGTTTAAAATCTGCAAATCAAAGTAATTCACCACATAAACAAAATGAAAGGTAAAAGGTTATGTGATTATATAAATAAATGCAGAAAGCATTTGACAATATCCAACATGAATTTATGATAAAAAGTCTCAGGAAAGTAAAAATAGAGGAAATATAGTGCAACATAATAAAGGCCATATATGACAAACCCACAGTTAAAATCATACTCAGTGGGAAAGAGCTAAAAGGATTTTCCTTGAGATCAGGAACAAAACAAAGATGTCCACTTTCACTACTTTTATTCTTCATAATATTGGAAGTCCTAACCCCAGCAGCCAGAGAAGAGAAGAGAGAAAAGTATCTAAATTAAAAAGCAAGGAGTAAAACTGTCATTATTTGCAGATGGCATGATACTATATAAAGAGGGCCTTAAAAATTCCCACCTAAAATTATTGGAACTGATAAATGAATCCAGTAAAGTGGCAGAATATAAAATTCATGTTCAGAAATTGGTTGCATTTTTATATACCAATAATGAACTATCAGAAAATGAAATTTAAAAATAATCCCATTTACTATTGCATGAATATCTAGGAATAAATTTAATCAAATACATAAAAGACTGCACTCAGAAAAGTATAAGACATTAAGGAAAGAAACTTTAGAAGATACAAATAAGTGAAAGCATATTCTATGCTTGTGGATAGAAAGAATTAACATCATTAAAATGTCTATACAACCCTGGCTGGTGTGGCTCAGTGGATTGAGCACTGGACTGTGAAGTTGGGGGTTGCTGGTTCGATTCCCGGTTGGGGCACATGCCTGGGTTGCAGACCAGATCCCCAGTGCGGAGGGCCGGGGGCACACGAGAGGCAACCACACATTGACATTTCTCTCCCTCTCTTTCTCCTACCCTTCTCCCTCTCACTAGAAATAAATAAAATTTTTCAAAATAAAGTGAAATAAAATGGCTATACTACCCAAAGCGAACTATTGATTCAATACAATTCGTATAAAAATTCCAACTGCATTTTTCACAGATCTAAAAGAAAATAATCCTGAAATTTATAAGAACAAAGAGCCACAGCAATCTTGAGGAAGAGTGAAGTTGGATGTATCATGCCCTCTGATATGAACCTATGTCACAAGCCTATATTAATTAAAACAGTATGGTACTAGCATAAAAACAGAACATAGGTCAATGGATCAGAGTACAGAGCTCAGAATTAAAACCATGCCAACATGTAGGAGAAGAAATCTCTGTTTCTATTTTGTTCATTAGATTCCACATATGATTGAGATCATATGGTACTCGTCTTTCTCTGACTAGATGATTTCACTTAGCATAATATGTCTCCAGGTCCACCCATGCTGTCACAAAGGGTAAGATTTTCTTTTCTTTTTTTTAGGTTGAGTAGTATTCCATTGTGAAAAAGTATCACAGCACCCCTTGTTCTTTGTAGTGCTATTTACAATATCCAAGATTGCGAAAACCGCCCAAGTGCACATCAGTAAATGAGTGGATAAAAAAAGCTATGGTATATAAATAAAGACTTGATTGTTATTTTCACTTTGTCTCCTTGTTCTAACTGAGCACCTCCACACTTGATTATTCAACAGGGTGGAGCTGACAACAAGACAACACTTAGCTTGAAGTGAGTATCATTTTATTCTTATTGTATTATTTTTACCCTAACCCATTACTCTCTATCATGGCAATTGGCACAGGGTTTCTCTTTCTGATATAACACTTCCTACTTTAGTGAGTTTAAGGGAACAAAAGTGAGTGACTTACCTGGAAATATTAAGTAAAGAGTGAATAAAGTGTAGTACTAGGGGGCAAGTGTGTATACTGAAATAGAGTGACTGAGTTTAGGGAAAACTGGTATAACTTGATGCTTGTGGGGAATATTTGGTCTTCAAAGGAAATTATGACCAAAGCACCCATAGTGCTTGGTGCTGGTAAGCACGTGTCTGATGAATGAAAGCAAGAACACACTTACATCCCGTATTGCTTCATAGAGTGCTTTGAAAGTTGGCTGCTTATCATCATGGTAGACACCCCGGTTCCCATGCAGAACAGATACACCTTCAAGCTCAGCCCCTTTGCAGTTGCTTCCATACATGCAGTGATCGGGACGGTAGTTCCACTGGCAGGGGAACACATAGAGACACTCTGGTGGTGACAAGAGAAAGACATGTGTCCACAGTCAGTGCCAGCTCTCCTCTGCACTCCTGGCAATTAAACCAAAGTTTCCATAAACTGCACATAGCACATAATTTAAATGTACATGTGTGTGATTATGACTCATTGACCAAATTTCACATTTGTTAATATCCTGAGACCAGGAATTAAAGGGGCACACATTAGTGATGTTGTAGTTTTCACCCCCCCCTCCCCAAAAAGAGGAGAGCAGGGGACAAGAAGGCCAAACAATGGCATCAGACAGCCCTTGTTCAGACAGTTGGTCCGAATCCCAACTCTGCCACTCAAATATAGTGAATAATAGGTACAGTGACTTAATTTTCCTGCACTTCAGTTTCTTCATCTGTAATATGGGAATAACAGGAAGTTCCTCTTATTTTGATGATTAAATTTAAAAAATATGGAAAATGCTTAGCAGGATGCTAAGCACACAGTGGTAGTGAATAGTGTTAGTAGATATAATCAATTCTTCAGAAAGATTTTTGTGAAATGGACAGAACTAGAAAATAGGAGTAAAGATTAAAGAAAAATTCTTTTTAGGACTAAAAACAAACCAAGAAACAAAGGAAAAAAACATACAAACAAATAAAAAAAAAAAAAACCTATGACAGTGAAGGGAAAAAAATCCAAAGAAGCAAAGCCCAAAAACAGTCTCTATGCCAAGGTGACTATATACACGGTGGGTGAACATGTGTACACATGTACTCATTGTGTTTATATCTCTAATCCAGTGGTACTTAGCAGGGGGGAAATTACTCCTTTCCTTGGGGCCCGTTGGTAATGTTTGGACGGAGACATTGGTTGTCATACAGGAGAGAGGCTGCAACTAGCATCTGGTAGATAGAGAACAGAGATGCTCCAAACATCCCACAATGAACAGGACAACCCCTACAATAGTAGCAGTACCAAGTCAAGAAACTCTGCTATAATCTTGTTGAACTGAGAAAAATTCCTCTTGGTTACTAGGATTATACAATTAGCCACAAATTCATGACTCCCCAGCTTCCTGGCCCTTCAGCTTGATGACTAATGGCAGAGACTAGAGGAGCATGGATCAGGGTTCTCTGTGAATATGTGTTACTGATCATGAGAAAGGCCTTGTGTGAGCACAGAAGGATTACAGAAAATAAATTAGCACTGTCAGAAAAGCAGTCTAAAGATGTGCTTATTGGTTGGGTTGATAGCATTCCCCTCTCATGAAAAGGATCTGCTTAGAAAGTACTTACAGAAAGCTTTAAGATGAAAGCAAGGAATGAAGAGACCATTAGACATTCCCTCTGGCAGTCTGTGTATATTATTTATAGTGCTCAGTCTTTAAGATAGTCCACAGAACATCGAGGCACCCTTCATTAAATTCCTAATTGTTCACAACACACTAAGAGATTTTTCTTTCCTGTAGAGAACTCCACTTCACCATTACATTTCTTTTACTTGCATTCACCTTTCACACTTGAACACACATGATCCAGAAATGGGAGTCAGCAGTGCTCATCCTGAAGTCACACTACCTAGATTTGATTCCCAACTCTATTATCTGTGTGATTTTTCTGCGCTCTAGTGCAAAGGGTGGGTGTGAAGATTATAGGAGTGGAAATACCTAAAAATGCTTTTGTTCTTTTGTACTGTCCCTTACCCCAGTCGATTTGCTTCCTTTCATAGCCCAATGAATCATGTCACTCATTTATAATACCAGCCTAGGCATTTCATTTGTAGTCCCTGCTTAGGCACCGGCTAATTTTTCCTGCTGAATGAATTGCCAAACAAATTTTTATTGAGTGCCTGCTATGTGTACAGTTTCTGTCTTCATGGAGTTTAAGAATGGTGCTGAATTTTTTTTTCCTTTCCCAAGTAGTATAGCCCCATTACAAAAGGAAATCTTTTTTCTCCTTGTAGTGTCCTTAGAGGACCGAGCCCTATGAAGGCACTCTTAGGCAGAGATGAAATAGAAAGACTTTGGAATCAGACAGATGTATGTTAAAAGTTGGCTTCTACCATCTCTTAGTTCTATAACTACGGGAAGTTACTGAGTTCCTCGACCTCAATTTAGAAGTGAAAAAGAGAAACTAAATTTTCCTGATTTCAATGCCAGCCTCACCTCATGTTAGCTGTGACCTAAGAGCTGAGTGGCAAATAGAACAAGCTGTGGAGTTGACCCACTATATTTGAACACAGAACTCTACCACTAGTTGTGTGAACCCAAGCAAATTATGTAATTTGTCTAGACCTCAGTTTCATCATCTGTAAAATGGGGAAGAATTATAAATATCATTTGCTCAATACTATTTTGGGAAATATTATGAAGTCTGTCTTGAAAAAGTCCAGCCATTGTTAATATAATGAGTACATTTTGCACATCAATGTAATCTGGCTGCCAAGGAGAATAGACTGGAATGTGCATGAATGAACAATGACCACTTCATTATGCTATTCAGTAGGGGTGATAGATGCCATTTAGTAAGCCTGTGACTGTGTGGCCATTGCATTCAAGATGACTAAGTGAGCAGAGCAATGAATCTGCATCAAATTTTGAGTTAAGCTTGAACATTCCTCCATGGAAACTTGGGACGATTCAGAAGGTTGCAACTGGTGATTGGCAGCTTCATCACAACAACATGCCTGCTTATTATGTCTTGTAAAGAGCTTTTTGGTGAAACATCAAATCACCTCAGTGACTCAGCCCCTCTATAGCCCAGATTTGGTGCCCTATGACTTGTGGCTTTTCTCCAAACCAATATCACCTTTGAAAGGGAAGAGATTTCGGACTGAGAATGAGATTAAGGAAAATACTACAGGGCAGCTGATGGCAATTGGGAGAACTGTGTGAGGTCCTAAGGTGCCTACTTTTAAGGGGACTGTGGTATACAGTGTTTCTTGTAACTTGTATTTTCTTCAATAAATGTCTCTATTTTTCATATCACATGGCTGGATACCTTCTGAACAGGCCATACATGGCCTTATGTCCAAAATGTCTTATACACCGAATGTTGCCTCACTCTTTTTAATTTTCATGCTTATGTGAATCCCCCATGCACATGAATTAAAACCTTGATTATTCTCATGTTAATCTGTCTCTGTTAAATTATTAGCCCAGCTAGATGAAGGTGGGAGGAAATAGATATATATATATATATATATATCTATTTCCCCCATTTTGGTGAGCCAGCAGGAGAATTACTAGCTGGGGCACTGCTGGATCCCTGGACTGCCATGGCAGCCTCTCTGATCTCTTATCTGCGAGTTCTGTAGAAAGTGGAAGTTGTGAGTCCTTTTTTGTCTTCTAAATTTAGATTGGCAGAAGAAAATAGTTGCGGGCAAACGCAACCCCAGTAAAAACTTGTTCAGAGTCTCTTGTTTTCTATTGATCCCACTACTTCGGGAGATGGTCTTTTATCTTCGCCAGCTGGATAATGCACATGCATCAAGTGGGTAGCTTAGGCTGTGGATCCAAGCTTAGGGAATCTTAAACCTTGTTCTGTTCAAAAGGGGATAAAGTACATGGTTCCCTGTGGTTTTGAAACAGCTGTTGAAAGACAGGGCTCTCCATCTTTCTTAGGCTAACTCTGGGAATGAGCTATTGGATCTGGGAAGGTTGTATCATTTGATTTGTGCTCTTAATGGAAGTCTTTTGCTTCCTTGTTAGGTTCTCTACAATTACTAGTAATTCTGTTTATGTATACAATCTTGTGATATCTGTGTTTTTCTGTATTTATATATGTATAGTATTGTGATTTCTGCTTCTGGGTACTATTATAAGTTTCTAATAATTAGCTTAAAGGAATTACATGCTTACATAAACTAAGAAATATAATTTAACCTACTTTTCAGGATCATATAATTTAGAAAAATATTTGATATTTAAACTGATTTGAGCTTAGTTTGATTAAATGGAAAAGTCTTCTGAAGTTATTAACATTGAACATAGTGTTTTAGTTTTACATGGATTTAGAAAAATAAGTTCATGCCATCTGTTACAGAATTTGTCAAGAAAATAACTTGGTATGTAATAATTAAGTTTGAAATCTCATAGAGTTGTTAAAATCTAATAAATAAATATAAATAAAATGAAAGGTTTTAGATAAAACTTTTCAGTAATCATTATATATGCTTACACACAATTTTTCAAAGTCTGGTGACTTGCAACTTTAGAGCTTTACTAAGTTAAGTTAAATGATAAACAGTCATTGAATGTCTAGATTATTTCAGATGAAGTGAAATAATGAAACATATATTGCTAGATGTCTTAAGTTTACCTGGTTTAACTTATTATAGTGAAGCTAAAATATGAATTTGGACCAGTTATTTCCTGTACTTTATTTAGAAATGTTTTTAAAAATAGTGAATGTATTTGCCAATGAAAGAGACTATGTTTCTAAAGCTTATAAAATATATTTATAAATTTGCAAATTTAAAGAATGCTAATAGTTTATTTTTTGGTTGTCACTAGAAATTAAGTTTCATAAGAGTTAGGAATTCTAATTAAGATAGATAGAAATTATATGTTTTTGGTAATAGAAGGTATAAGGTATGAAGATACATTTTTGAAAGAAATTAAAGAAAAGCTGTTATTTCTGAATGTGTTACAAACAGGCTAACTAAAAGAGACCAGGAAAGTGTAAAGGTTTGTAAAGAGAAATCTTGAGAAGAAATTTTATATATGGTTAAGCTGAATAAGATTGAAATAAATTTAAGTAAATGAATTTAAATATCAAAAGTAAGCTGATAAAGAATTAGAGTTTGATTCTTTTTTACTCTGTTAAAAAGAAAAAGTTTTTCCTGTATTTATTCTACTCCAGACAAGACAGTATGAAAAATTTTCTAACTAGAAAGCAAACATTCTATATTTTATTAAAATAGTTCTGTGTCTTCCCTGGTCAGTGCTTAGTGGATTATTAATCACTAGCCTGCGAGGCAAAAGGTCACTGGTTCTCTTCCCAGTCAGGGTACATGACTGGGTTGTGGGCTAGGTCCCC